ATTGACTAAAACAATGCATTCTTTGCAGAGCTTTGTATCGCAACTCAGATATCGTACTAATGGACGACCCGTTGAGTGCTGTCGACACCTCTGTTGCCGAACATATATTTGATAAGTAATGCCATTATTAGTCATATGAGACACACCTACCAGTCCTCTAACCTGCCTTTCCATCAGATGTATAGTGGAGTACTTATCGAACAAAATCCGGATTCTAGTCACCCATCAAATCCAATTCATACGAAAAGCCACACAAATACTGGTCTTAAGTCCAGAGGGCCGGTGCCTGGGGTTGGGCTCATACGATGAGCTCCATTCTCAGGGCCTGGACTTCATATCAATATTGAGTGACGCGGAACGGGAGGCCGCGGATCATAAAGCCGAACCCGACAAACAGGAACGGGAGCTCTTGAGGTCATTCTCTAAGAATAGTTATGACGCCAAACAGACGGAGACCCTCCTGTCGGAGTCGATCAACGACAGGGCCCGGAGGTACTCCCGGAGCCCATCTGTCGTTCAGATCGAGCTCTCGGACATTATGGGCGATGAGGAGGACTACACCCTTGAGCCCAAGATTCAAGAGGAGAACCGGGAGGTGGGCTCTATCGGGGGACACGTCTACTATGAGTACGTGAAGGCCGGTGCCGGACCCGTACTGCTCACGATAACACTGTTCACGACACTTGTATCTCAGGGTATATTTCTTTACTCCGATCTATGGCTAACCAAATTGTAAGTGTATTTAAAGTGTACTAGTTATAAAATTTCTCATTATTTATAGTATACATTTTATAATATAAGGGGTCATTCAATAAGTACATACGCACTGGGTGGTGAAAGGAGGGTCAGCGAAAACATGCGTACATAATGTTAAAGTCCTATGTAATTTACTATGGGGTTAAGTAGGTGAGGGGGGTAAATTTTTAGACAAATTTTTGCGTACGTATTTATTGAATTTAGGCAGTATATTTATTTTATATAACATAGTTGTTTATATTCATACTGAATCTATTTTAAGAGGGGGAGCTATTTATATGTAATTACAATTGTAATTGGTAAATTATTAATTATTTTAGTTATAGTATATTTAAATAAATTATTAAAAAATTATATAATAAAAATTTATAATAAGCTCTCTCTCTCTCTCTCTCTCTCTCTTCCGGAGTCTCGGGGTCTTAAAGTCAATCCCCTTATAACACAAATCAAGTCTATAGATCTTACATTGATAAGAATAAGTCAACTAGACACTAAAAACAAGATTTATTAAATTTTATGACAAATATACTAGATCATTCTTATCTATAAATAGAGTTTGATATTCTCATTATATGGTACCACATTATACGACAGATATTAATTGTATTTAAAGAAAACACTTAAAGTGTACGCATGGTAATTTACAATTTGTAATTATAAAGCAGGCGTTATATTAATAGAATTGTTTACGAAAACTTTATTGAAATATATTATATTTAGAAAATTATAAATATAAATTATCGTTTGTATTCAGTACTGGCAAAAATCAAAAGGCTAATGCAATTGACCAGGACACACAAAACTTTTACGTCTACGTCTACTCGGGACTCATTGGGGCCCTGTTTGTGACATCCCTATTGCGGGCCATCACGTGGTTCGTGATGTGTATGCGGGCGTCCGTTAATCTACACAACAGTATATTCACGCGTCTATTACGGGCACCGATAGCCGTGTTTGACAACAACCCCGTCGGTGAGCATAACAATAGTTTATTGTCTGTTTGTAAGGTTTGACAAAATAATGGTAAAACTGGCCAGGCTCCTACAAGCTTAATACTCACAAGTCAGTATTAACACATTAACATTTGATAAAATCAAACATTTAACAAATTAAAATGTTCTTGATCACTATAATAGTGACACATTATATATATATAATTATAGGTCAAATGCTAAACCGATTCTCGAAGGACATGGGTATTGTCGACGAAATGCTTCCGTTCACTGGTTTTTACTTTAATTTAGTAAATATATTGAAATTACATTTTAATTCATCAACAGTTTTACGAGTTTATGTAGAAATTGAAATAATTTTTTTCTCATTACAGAAGTTATTTGAAACGATTGGTATTATAATAACGGTTGCCATTGTCAACATCTACCTAATCATCCCGGGTATTTTCTTAATTATAATATTGGTGATTGTGAGGGGTATATACATGAAATCGGCCAGGGATATTAAACGTTTCGAGGGGATAAGTATGTGCCTAGTGATTATAATGTGGTTATAATTGTTTTACTTAATTAACATTTAATAGCGAGAAGTCCATTGTTTACTCACGTGAGCACAACCCTGAATGGGTTGGCCAGTGTGCGGGCATATGGGGCACAGGAGGCCTTTGAGCGCCAGTACTATGTCTACCAAAATGACCATAATGCCACCTGGTTCCTATTTGCATGTACGTCCCGAGCCCTAGGCCTTATTCTCGACTGGGTATGTGTGGGATATTTAGTGGCCATAGCCGTCGTGATGATGGTATTCCCCGAACAGATTGGGAACGGCGGTAGTGCCGGACTGGCCCTCACGTCAGGTGCGCTATCAATATACATATGAAATGAGTTTATTATTTAAGTTTAAGACAAATACTTAAAAATTAAGTGTTTATGATCCAAAATATCAAATAATGGGTGTATGGATAGATGTAAATGTCAGACTGGTATTACCTGTACCAGATTTTTGTAATTTATCGCAAAATTCTGGTAAAAATTGACTCCCTCCCCCTTCACACCCAGCGTACATAGGAATTTAACATGATGACATACGCTCCACCAACGTCTAAATTTCAGGTTATTATATTATGTAGCTAAAATGAAGATTAACTAAAAAAATTAATTAAAAATAGCACCAAATAGTAACAAGATGTATGTTAGTTTTGGGTCAAAATAAAATTTTAAGCATAAATTGACCATGCAACAATTAACGAAGTGTAGAAAATGAAACGGTAGTATAAAACTTTTTGGGACCTTTTTGAGACCTCCGGGCTCGGGTATTTTAAAATAACACAAATTAGTATATGTTAAAATTAGCGCATTACACATTTTTATACCTAGGACCTTATTTGTAATTTTAATTCAAATATTGTTAGCCCTAACGATGACCGCAGAAATCCAATGGGGAGTCAAACAGTCGGCTGAGATGGAGAGTCAGATGACTTCAGTCGAGAGAATCATAGAGTACTCGAGACTACCACAAGAGGCGCCGTTAGCCTCGGATGACAGACACCGACCCCCACCTGACTGGCCATCCAAGGGTCAGATAGAGCTGAGGAATGTGTCTCTCGTATACGAGGGCTCAACCAAACCGGTGCTGAAGAACCTGTGCTGTAGTGTGAAGAGTGGCGAGAAGATAGGTA